CACTCGTCCCCGAGGCGACGGCGCGGGGCGGGGGCTGACTCTGGCCACGCCCCACGTGGGGAGGGACCAGGTGACGTAGGCAGTGGGCGGGGTTGCTTCTCGCGTGGCAGGGCGGGAAATCCATCCTTTTTAGGGCTGTTTTCGTGGAAGGTTGTGGAAGTAGAAAGAATGGGAGGGGTCCTGAGGATATATGAGGAAATATATTTGCAATTTTTAAAAAATGAACAGGGAATTAAGTAATGCCAATAGCTTCTTATTTTGGAAAAAAAAAAGAGCGAAAATTAGGTAATATTTCACCTGAATGCAATGATGTGCTTAGTTGCTTCCTGTGACCTGCCGTATACATAACTTAAGAACTGATACAACAGCACAGATTGTAGGTCTCTAAGCAAATCATTTGCGCTATCAGTCAAAACACAGTGTGGCAACTAAGGGGCTCTGCCCCCTCCCACTCCTGCTTTTTGTATATAATAAATGTCTTTACAGCAGTTCAGTCACTTTTATTCATTTTTATTATGAATTAAAGCTTCCTTAGAAGATGATTGGGGTAGGGTCTGGCTTAAGCACCTGAGTCATCTCTGGAGGGAGGTCAGAAAAAGAGAAAAACCCTGATTCCTCTAATTACAATGGACACCAAAGTCATTAATTATACAATTGTTAATTATAAAAAGTATTAATAGAACTAAGACGGATCTGCAGGCTTCTCACAGGTGACAGGAGCTTCCCAAGACTGAGAGAAGTGTTTACAACTGCATGGTTGGACAGCTTAGCCATCCTGTATATTTTGCATATACAAATAGAGCCCAAAATGCAGAAATGCTCATGGGAAAAACAAAACAAAACAAAACCTATTTTCCACATATGACCTTAAATGTTAAGTAAATCTAACAGGTTAGGCATAATTTCTTGGAAGAAGGGGCCAGGATGAAGAGAAACAAAACCTCTACCATCAGGCCACGGTGGTTGATATTCCATGAAGGAAGGACACCCAATTGAATTAAA